GCAGATGTTTTGTTATATGCCAGTTTTTCTTTGGTTCGCCTTCTAATATCCTGGTGTCTTCTTTTTACTTCATCCACTGTTCACAAGGTTTCACCAACAGTGTTTACTTTATTACAGATTTGTTCACATATAGCGTTCCTCTGTGTGACAGTCACACTTCTTTGCTGTGGCTCACTTAAATGTTTGTTGGCTTCATCCAACAAACACATCCATTTCCATGGGGTCGAATTTCCTTTTGTGCTTTCTGCTGTCCAAACTCGCCATGCCGCAAACCACCAAACGCGCAAAACCCTCATTTAAATAGGGTGTCTCCTACAGTTTTGCACCTGCCACCAGTTACGCAATCGCTCTTGTTAAATCACCCGCAAACCATGGTTCAGCCCCTCGCGCAAAATTCCAGTTTGCGAGCGCAAATTACTGCACGCAAAATTGGATCTTGATAAATCCGGCCCTATGTGTACTGTATACGATAGTTTGATAGTTTTAATATGAAACCCATGAAGTGACACCGGTGTCTGAAGGGTATTGAAAGCAAGTTTAGTGTATTCTTGGTAACAGTTTTCAGTCAAAGTGTAAACTCTTCATCCTTCTGACAATCCAGAAAATTCATAGCAACATCTGTCAATTATTCATATGACCCTTTTTCCCTTTTTCTAGATCAGATCAAAACAATGAGAACGTGAGCGTGTGAGGAGCGACCACCAGACCCGACAGCAGGATTCACAGATGTTTTGTGAAAGATTGGTTGACTTTTTAAAAATAAAGCATTAATTAGAATTTATCCCGCTTCTGATCACATACCGTACTGTATTTAGTTGAGTCTTTGACCAGAGGCCCGTACCAGGAAGCGAGCTAGAGGTAGCTGGATGACTCCCAGTCTATCCAGTTTAACCAATCCACAACAATGGCAATCAGGATCAGTGGTACCATGAAGCTGGTTATAAACTTGTTAACTCGCATATATAAAGGTTCAACGTAGCAGACCAATCACATTCATGAGTGCAGAACGGAGAGCGCTGTATTTCTCCTTTTAGGAACAAAACTATCGTATAGAAATACGAAGTGAGATAAAAAAAACAAGTCTCAGTGAAAAGTCAAACATGGTGGCGATATCAAAGAGCCGCCAAATAACGTGGAAAAGGGTTGCTACCTGCTTAAATGTGCAAATTACACATCAGTGACATCCCAATCACTGTACTGCATTTTAATTGCGGCTCATCCCTCAGATGTAACCTCTCAGGAGTGAAGAGGACTTGGGAGCAGAAAAAGATAAAGTATAAAACTTTATGTCATCTGGTTAGTTGGACTTTTTAATTAAATAATGCTTGGGCTACAATAAAGCTGGAAGCTGATGCCACGGTTGCATCATGTTAATACAAGGAGTGATCAGTCTGAGTGAAGTCATTCTGATTTTTGAGCTGTGTGAGAACTCAGATGAAACAAATGGCAGAAAATCTACTCTTATTTTAAAAAGTGAAAGCTCTCAAACACCATTCATCCCTAAATGTACAGAAATACCTCAATATCTTCTCTACTAAAATATATGCTATATAGGATTCAGATCCATCCTGGAAGCTAGCCTGACTGTTCAGAGTAAGTTACCATGGTAACATGCCCTGCTAATAATGAATCTGTTTCCAGCGTACTGTAAAGTCAGGGTTTAACATGAAATTACTTTGTTAAACTGGTAAACCTGCTTCATGGTAAAGACCTCAGTTAAACTGGTAAGAGATATTCACAAAAAGGTATTTGGCAAATGTTTTTTATTTTTTTATACGGTTTGAGGGTTGACATTTTTTATTGTTCCAGTAATTATTGCTTAATATTAAGGACATTAGGGATAATGCTTGAAAGCCATTCTGTCCCCTCTATATTTGGTACACTATGTGACTCAAACTACTATGGCTTTATTTTGTTAATTTAGTCACATATTTAACTTCTGGGTGTGACATCCAAGCTTTTTCAACTTTCAATTTGAAGTGTATGTACAGACCAATTGCCAAATGTTTATTTGTTCTTTTTTTTTATCTCATAGCAGTCTGACAATGCATTTTGTGTTCCTTCTAATTCCCACTCACCTCCTACCTCTTGGCCAGTACTCCCTTGAGAAGGTGATTTTTTTTCTCAATCTGAGTAACACCTGGATAAAAATGAAAATAAAAATCTGAGGAAAAAAATGCTAAATGTTTTTCCAACAGCTGCCTTTTGCTAATCTCCATAGGTGGATGTCGTATGGCACCTTACGACTGCGGCTTATTTAATAATTATTTTTAAGCAAATTTTATCTAGAAGAAAAAGGAAACAGACAATAGATAAAAGATTTGACTGAAATAAAAGGATAGGTTAACTGCTAACTGATCCGTTTTAGGATAGTATGCTTCCATTAGAATAAAACAAACAGCTCTAATTTGGTCAAACTGTCTTTTACAGATATTAAGTTAGTAAAGAAACAAATGTGAATTTAGTGTGTAAAAATTGCTGATAAAAGTCAGAATGTGGGTTTACAAAGCTAAATTCCAGCTAATTATATTTTTGCCTTGTTTTATTCCTAACAAACAAGATGTAATCATTCAAAATGCTACTTTCAGGTTTAGTCGCAGTATGCCCATGAATCAAAGGCAAAGTACAAAGCATAAAATTACAGCCTGTACAAAGATTTTTTTTTCAAGTCTTTGATCTTTTCATGTTTTGTGTCTGACCTAAAGCTAGCTATAAAACCAGTCTGTTTTGTTTCAATTAAGGCATGTAATCTCAACCCAGCTTTATAAAAAAAAGTTTATTTTTCAGTTTTTAAGTCTCTTTTTTTTATGGAAAATGATCAGAAAACAAGGATTTTTTTACAATTTATTTTACAGTATTAAGCCTGGTTACATTTATTTGAAAAGCTGGTCTTTATTTCAGTCCTCTGTTTATCCTTTAAAAGGTTGGTGAATTGTGGCACAACGTTTTTATTATTTCAGAAATGCAGAATAGAAACTATGTTCTCTATTGTAGTCATTTTCAAGCGTTTTTCCCTGTTCTGTGCTAAGCCTCTGAAGAACTGTTCTGCAAATACTGATATGGAAAGAAATGCTTTGGTTTGACTAAATTAGTGTGTGTGATTCCAAATCTTGAAAATAACCTGTGAAATTGCTGCTACCTAAAAAAATAAATAAAATAAAAATATGTTTTTGCAGTTTAGCACTCAGAGAAAACTTTTAAGGGTTTGTTTAGATATTTAGAAAACAGATGTTACAAGGTCTGTGATAGTTGTTAAGCAAGAATAACAATGTATTTTAATTTAAATTAGTTCTTTAAACTTTTATTTCTGACAGTCACATGATGTTTTTTGTTTTGAAGAGCTGGTGCACCTTAGTTTCTCATCACATACATCTGCAGGCCTTTTTTTTAAAGCTTTAACCAAAACTATCCCAATCCTGCTCACAGTGATAGTGAAGACCATGTGAATTTGTAATGTTTCTGTGTCTAAAATATTTTAGATTTTCTGTATGAGGTTAAGTCAGTATCCTGTAGCCCTTCGTATCTGTAGGTCAACAGAGTCCCTGTGTAATTGCATTTTATATTTTAAGCGAGGTAAATTCTTACATCCAATGCTCAAACTGCATCTTTAAATACATAATCTTTAATTCAACTCTGTGTTTTAATTTTTGAACAATAAAATTTGTGAAACTAAGTCTTGCCTCTTTGTAGTTAATGTTCAGGTTTGATGTTTATATATCATATACTGTTCCGAACCTCGTGATCTTTTAGTCTCTCTTCCTCTCATTCTGTCTCTCTTGAAGAAATTTTGTAAGCTGCCAGCAACAGCTGCTCATTAAACCACAAGTCCTTTGGCTCTGAACAGCATTTGGTTGAATGTAATCAAGTTACAGATTTTGAAATGTTTTATCTGAAGCTGTAATACAATATTGTCATATTAATTGCATGTGCTTTTTAAGTGCATCAGGCTTATACTGTATGACATATGGGATTATTATTATCAAATGAACCAGATGCCAGATTTAAGATTCACTTTCTGATTTAGAAATGTCTCAAGGTTCTGCACCAAACATCTGTCCAACATTTAGTTAGCACACTTTACAGCTGTTCACTGGATGTTCAGGGGTTTTTTGTGTTTTTTTTTGCAACAATGTTTTACAGATTCATTCGTTGGATGTCAAATATACTCTTAACTTCATTCTGATACAGTAACTGAAGCATAAAAAAAACATCCATAAAATTGTAAGCATGTAACATTAGAAAAAGATTAAAATATGCTACCATAGAAGCAAGCATAATCCCCTTTGCTACTGTGACTATTAAATAATAATTTTAAACGTAGGTGGTGAATTCAGATGGTTTTGGAAATGGTCGAAAAGGTTTGAAAAATAAAGCTTCATACGTATTGATTAGGATAACACTCTATTTGAATTATTTTGAAATTTCTATTTCACATTTTTTTTCTGTTTAGTTGATGGTTGTTTATTCATGGAAAAGTATTTTGCACATGCAGGTTATCTTTCATCTAAATGTGAATACCCAGTCGATATTATTTAGTTATTAACTCTGTATAAAACAAATGTCCAACATCAAAATAAGTTTATAAAATAATATAATAATGCTATCATAGCAATTATATCTGTAGCCGGTCTTCTCAAACGATTTCCTTTTTTAATCACTTTTGTCGTTAGTAGCAACCTTGACCTGTTGTGCGCATTGCACTCTGTCCATGGTGCTGAATCGCCCTGTTTGCCTTGTCAAAAGAGGGCGCTGCGCGTTTACCAGTTTACCATGGCGAAAACACGACCTTCTCCAGGACATAGTTCCTTTTTTTTCATCCAGTCGATGTGCCTGTGTCTGTGTGCAGGATTTTAAAAAGTCAGATTGTATCATTATACCTCACTGCATGTTTCAGACCCATCCTAATTGGATGCCTGCCAGTTTCGACAAGTCTTTTCCAGATAAATGGACTGCAGGCTGAAGTGGCCATTAAGTAGACAGAGCTCACAGATAAAAATCCTGAAGGCAAAAGGCAGACATACATTTAAGAATGGTCTAATTGCTTCAAGGTGGGGAGTGTATTAGTCGATGAATTCGTTTAATCACGGAGAAAAAGAGGAAAATCATGTATTTCTCCTTGAGCGTGTGTTCATAATTACTGGTTAAATGTTTAAATAACTATTTATCTTCACATAGTTTTATCATGAAGAAATGGGGATGCGTTTAGGTCATCCTTCAGTTATACAAAGAAAAATAAAGAGTTCCCCTGAATTGCACAGCATGCGGTTTTTACGCACGGACTTTTGAGAAAGAAGACGTTTTTTTTAAACAAGAAAAAAACGAACAGACACAAACTTCCTAGCAAATTACTGATTATTTAAAGAACGATGCGACATTTTTAACAACCTTCTCTGAAAAGCAGGTTAAGGAATCTCGGCCCTCTGCCAGTAACATCAGCCAGGACGTCGTGACGTGTTTCATGCCAGGTGCTCTTTTGGAGGGACGGGTGTTTTTTTTTTGTTTTTTTGTTTTTTGTGACGCGTGCCTCGGTCCTCTGACGGCATCTACCCCCTTTATAAGCATCAGTAAGTCACCCGAGAGATCCTCACCGCTGTTTCGCCTCACAGTTTCTCACGGTACAAAAAGGGCAGCGGAATTTCAATGAACTTTATACTGTGATGCACATTTTTATTTACTCCGGTGTCCACACGCATGACTGGAAATACCCTAGGTAAGTAGGTCTGTAATTATTTTCTTTATTTTTTTTTGAAAGAAAGAAAGAAAGAAAGAAAGAAAGAAAGAAAGAAAGAAAGAAAGAAAGAAAGAAAGAAAGAAAGAAAGAAAGAAAGAATTCTGTGCGTAAAATGGATTTTACGCACAGAATTTATGCACGATCTTAAGCTGTAATCTAAAACTACAAAAAACTTTTCAACAGGCTTTTCTTATGAAAACATTTTTTATATAGGTAATGATAGAGCTGCCAATTCGTATCATGAATAATCTTAATATGAACTCCGTCTTTAGGCTAAAGGTGAAACTTTTATCATCTCTTATAGAATTTATTTTTCTCCTCTGCTTTCAGGTCTCCCTGCCCTCCCGTTCCAAGCAGAAGACCCCTGCGACAATGACCATCCATGTAGAAGGGCTTGTAGCCATCGCAGTCTTCTATATGCTCATCCTGGTCGTGGGCATCTGGGCGGCATGGAAAAACAAGCACTCCGGGGAGGCGGAGGGCACCGACCGCAGCGAAACCATCATGGTCGGAGGGAGAGACATTGGGCTGTTTGTTGGTGGATTCACGATGACAGGTGAAGTTTGTGAAAATAGAATTAAATACTTTTAAAAGTCGTGACCTGTTTGCTGTAGTCTTGTTGTATATTTGATGCATATATTTTTCATTTAGTAGAGGGGGATTTTCAAAGTTAAATGTAATCTATTGCACCTATATAACCAAATGATGTATTGTGTTTAGAAGTTTAACTAAAATAATTATAATTAGTAGATTCTTTTTTTCTAGGAAAAGTTTAATTTTAATCACATTTAACAATATGTTTAATAATCTGCAGCAACCTGGGTAGGTGGAGGGTATATCAATGGCACAGCTGAGTATGTGTATCTACCGGACTATGGTTTGGCTTGGGCTCAAGCCCCATTTGGATATGCCCTCAGCCTGGTTGTTGGTAAGTTTCAACAATTTTTTTGTTGTTTATTTTGCATGAAAAATTTATTCTTGGAGCAATTAGTAGCCAAAGGTATCACATTTTTTTATCTATTATATTCTATTCTACTATTATTACTATTTATGTGATTATTATTTTTATTTTTTTTGCATTCTGAAGTTTTTAAATATATAGCTACAAAATGTATTTTCATCAACTGACACTCCTCCCTCTTAATCCCAGGGGGTCTTTTCTTTGCTAAGCCCATGCGTTCAAGAGGTTACGTCACCATGTTGGACCCTTTCCAGCAACTGTATGGGAAACGTATGGGTGGTCTTCTCTTCATACCTGCACTCATGGGTGAGATTTTTTGGTCTGCTGCCATCCTGTCTGCCCTGGGTAAGTCTATGCATCTGCATACAATGGAATAAAACTTTTGTAGAGATGCTTTGAAATGAGTCCCTGTTGCTACAAAGGTCTTCATGTTCTTTAATTTGCTCACCATCATAGGTGCTACTCTGAGTGTTATTGTGGACATCAACATCAAGATGTCTGTGGTTATCTCTGCACTCATTGCGATCTTCTACACCCTGGTTGGAGGACTGTACTCTGTGGCTTACACAGATGTGGTGCAGCTGTTTTGCATATTTATTGGCCTGGTAGGTTCAGTTTGTCTAATTTTGTATAGTGGTCAGTTTTCTCAGAATTATGGGGTAAATTAGAAAGAAATTATTTTGTACATTTTATTACCAGTTGTGGAAATGTTTCATGTAATCTCCAATTTTTATTATAAATTACTTCGTAGAAGCCAAGCTTTCTTGTATTAATTTGAATGTATCCTGATTAATAGCTCTTAAGGATATCATAAAGTGCTTACAAGTCTTCGGTTTTCACTGTCTTTTTACTAATTTTTCAGTAAAAGTTTTTTCAGTAAAACATTGAATTTAAGTTATACAGACATATGTTACTATAGTGTAGTATTTCAACCACAAAATTATGCTCCTGAAATGGGTTTTTTTCTGAAATATTAGCATACAAAGTTGATTAAGTGAGAAATTATTTTTCAATTTCAGTGTCAAGTCATCTGATGGATTTTCCTTTGTTAAAAATTCCAAACAAGGTTTTTCTGGCCCTCATTCAACCTTTTTCTTTGTTTTTATGCAAACATTTCAGAGAAAGCTGCCATGACACACAGACCGAGTAGAATGAGCATATATACTATGATCATAAAAGCAGCAAGAAAGTGAAAGACAACATTTAAATAGCTTCAGAAAGTTAAAGAAATACTGACATAGATCATTGTACAAGGTCACATGTGTCCCTAAAAAGACATAAGTATTTTTAGCCTTTTTTATTACAGTCCTGTGTGGTATCTCTTCCGGTTTTAAGTTTGTCATTTTCCTGCGTATTTGCTGATTTTCTGCAGTGGATCAGTGTGCCCTTTGCTTTGACTAATGCTGCTGTGTCAGACATCAGTGTAACTGCAGTGACGAGAGTTTACCAGTCACCCTGGAGAGGCAGCATCAAGAGGGAAGATACATGGATCTGGATTGACAACTTCTGTCTTCTGGTAATGTCTGCATACTTTTATTCAAGCGAAATTTTTATACTCTTATTTGCTTACTAGATATCTATATAGATATCTACAAGCAACCCTGTCATGTTTTCTTTCTCTTTTATTTTTTTTTCTTGATTTGGATCCTTCAGACTTGTCCATTCTTATTGGTTTTCCCCTATTTACAAAAAACGTAATCTTGTCATACTGTAGATATCTGTTTTTACTTGTTGTCAGAAATCTTTTCTTTTAGTAAACATTTGCTATGGTATCTAAAATGGTATCAAGTAATTTTCCCAGTATTGGTACTGAATTTGACATTTTAGCATTGTGACAACCAAGGTCATCGTACAGTTTTCCACCTAATTATAAAAATAAACATTTGAAAAGTGTGACACAAATTTGTATTCAGACCTCTTGAATTTGATGTGCCTAAATAAAATATGTTGCTCTTAGTTTCCATTTGGCTTCAGTTAAAATAGAAGCACT